AATGAAAGAGATGCCCAACTCCTCCCTTCCCATAGACTTGTTGATCGTAGGTGCCTCTCTCCTAAAACTCGAGTCATGAGAGCTAGGAAATTTGAGCGAAGCCTCTCGATGCTTCCCTCACATAAACGGATAGTCAAAAGAAGTTTAAAAAGAAAAGAGAGATTCAAGAACGATAAGAAAGCTCTTCATCAGCTTTAGGAGCGCCCAATAGTTTCCATAACCATGAAGAAGGGTCCCTCATCTCGTGTGGAATCTTTGTCATTGAGTTTTTCTCAAAGATCTTTGATGTCATATTTTACTTCCTCTGCCTCTCCTTGTTGTCTGATTTCTCTCATAACTCCTAAGTCATGTAGTCAAAAGACGTCAGCCACAAAGTTCTGTTTACTTTACCACTTCCAAATATTAGAACACAGATAATTATTAGAACTCAATCATTTCCGTGTAAGCCTTCGCTGACTCGGGTAGGGCCATCGACTCGACACGTTCCACAGGATGGGTCGGATGGAGATTCCCCAACCTATTTTATTTGAGGCCATCATAAACTTTGATCATAAGTCCTTGATCTTGCTCTTAACCCCAATTGCCTAGAATCTTAAGTCGGATGAAAAAAAGACATGTACATCCCTGTCCACCTTGAACTTGAAGAAGTGGGAGAAAAGCTCTATGGACCAAAGGAGCTCCAACCATCAGAGAAAAATAACAAATGTCATGATTATCTCCACAAAGCTCAGCATCATCTACACTGAGATAATGTCATAGTGATTGAAGATGAATCGGAGTTTGAGGCAGAGCGGTAGCCACAATCCAAACATGAGCTGGTTTACATAAATGACCACACTGTAAACAAACAAGCCCCGCACTCTCTCGACTTTATTCACCGACCTAAGAATTGCTAAATCTCCTAAGATAAACAATGTTTGGAAGACTTCTATCTATTTTGTAGTTATCACAGACGCTATACTGAAGGGATTCACACCAACCATCAGAATAATACTTGGACGACATAGTCGACGAGTAAAGGGAAGAGGGAAGTTTGTAATGATGAGGCAAGAAAAAGATCAATTATAGAAAAAGATAATAAAGGAGGGTTTCCACAAGCTCACCGACCCTACTTTTAGTACACCGTGAAAGTCAAAACGATGGAGGGACACGAGGGTCTTTTACCACATTTAGCCAAGGGAATGAAGTTATATCATACACATATTAAATATGCAAAAAATTAAAAATTTCATTCAAGAAAAATATTTATATTTAAATGTGAATCCTTTCATTTATAACTTGTCAGCCATAAAGGAAATACCTAATAAAACTGTCAGCAACTGCCTCGGTCAGAACATAACCAAGTTGAGACAATCCACAATATACTAATTTTCTTCCTAACCTAAAGAGACTAAATCAGCCTCCTGGATTGCAAACACTTTAGCCTGAAGTGCTGCCACTTCATCTTGAAGGACAGACTTCTGAGCACGCATCACAATAAGTTCTTCCTTTAGTTTTTCCAATCGCACATTTTGAGGATGAGCGCGATAAACCTCCTGAATTAGTAGAATTTTTACCTTGTGAAGCTGAAGTCTAGCAGAGTCGGGTGACCTCGACATGCCAGCCACCTTAGCCAAGTCAATTATTGGATAAGTTGCGGTGTCTTCTGGTGCTCCTCTCGAATGTTTAGAACCCTCAACAAATCCCAATTCCACAACAATCTTATCAACACCATGTTCCAAGGTAGGAGAGGTGTTAGTCCCTTCACCAGATGATGGGTCCATCATCTTATGCAGATCTGAGGTAGTAAAGGAGCATGATCCCTCCCTGGTCTCTTGTTCTACCGATGGGAGAAGGATGACAACTCTAGGATCATCCACCATTGGAGGATCATAGGCTACCTCCTGAACAGTCACATTCAATTCCTCTATCAGCATCATCATAGTTGCAGGTTGTTGACTCTGCTCTTTCGCCAACACACAAGGATCGCGGGAGGATGTTAACGACTCCACCATCCTATCCTCCAAATAGGTTATTCACGTCATCCTATGCTTCTTCACTAGGAAGCTATCAATCCACACTTGGGTCCTCTATATAGGGCAGTCAGAAAGTGGATCATATGACCCTGCTTTGTCCCCCGTCTTAGGGAATGTCACCTCAACCATAAAATATTTTTTCAGGATGTGAGCTCTTGAATGATGCTTCACCCATTGCTTCATTACTTGAAAAATCATCTTCCAGGCATCCTCACCAAACTTAGCTGACTTGGAAGGGGAATTGCTCTTCATGATCACTGATGATAGACAAATAGTTTGAAAAAGACTAAGATAAGATATGTTTTTTTCTTCAATTCTCCCCTATTTATAGTCGTCATCGCATGGAATTCTAGGTGTGTTTAATTATTAAGCATTTAATAATTATGAATATCAATAAATTTTTTAAAATTAAGATTCTATTGTCCTTATCAAAGGTGTCACATTAAGGAGAGAATTGAGAACTTGAATATGTACATAAAAAAATATGTTAACATGAATTTTAAAAAGATTTGCGGTTGATAAAAAGGATAACGTGACAATCTGAGATGCACCAGGTACACTTCAAGAGCCCATATCTTTTCAGCAAGCTCCTAAGGACCTGGAGAAAAATAGTTTTAAGGACATAATTCAACCACCCTCCCAAAGTCTACTGGCACAAAACTCCCACGAAGGAATTCATTGACATTCCTCAACGAAGATGGGAGAACGATGAAAACCGCCTGGATCTAAAGCAGTCAGTCGGGGCATCCCGGTCCAGCTTTTGATCATAGTCGCTTGGGAAATAAACCAATTGGTCATTCCCTCAGCCTCCCGATGCGTGGCCGCCCAACCTAAAATCTGATTGGGTTCCATCCCATGCACTTGTCACCATCTGATTGGACACCATTTAAGGCTCTCAGCCCTAAAAATATGTATTGAACAAAATGCCCCTGATGTACCTGTTTTTCTAGGGGCACTAAATGTAATTTTACATCCCCCATTCTTATAAATAGGGGGCTCATTTCATGAATAAAATTGAGTGATTTTAGTGTTTTTTACCAAACACTTGCTTTGTTTTACGTTCTATTCCTTAGGCATGTCCCAAGGGTATTTTTGGATTCAACATTATATATATATATATATATATATATATATATATATGTATGTATGTATGTATATATTCATATATAATCATATAATAGAGGAATTTATCGGCGGCAGAGCAATACATTTTTAT